ATATTGGAAGAACTCGTTGTCGATATCCCTAGGCATTAGCAAACGAATATTTACATATGTGGGAGCTGCACAAGTTCTAACTCCTTCGCACATGGCGGTTTTTGAAAAAACTCGCCCATTATATTATTGAAATATTGGGACCTTAGAGCCATAGTGTCGACATTATTTCCTTTATCGGCGCCATGCAAGAGAAGTCTAAAAGCTACCTTGCTTAGTGAAGGTGAAGACAGGGATTAGGAACCTCATCTGTCCCATTCCCGGACATGGTAATTATTCGGACGAGGGCCCCTTTGCGGCTTGGAAGCGCACAACAAGTCCACACTCACGTCCACAAGCCCCTTCTGCTGTTAACTGAAACGCTGGTGCTGCGAAAAGAGCGCGGCCGTTGTTGCAGCAGCGTTAGGCTGGCGTCAGAGTCCGCAATCCGATTCGATTTTGCGCGATTCGCGCGAATCGCAAAAATGGGAAATGCCTCTCGAAACATTTCAAACACTGAACATCAGCCATTAACTTCGAGCAGAAATGGCGGCGGGATTGGAGAGCACCTTGCAGTATTGATCGGGCACTTGCGATTTCTGTGACCCGTCGCGCGAATCGCGCGAAACCTGCGACGGATCGCGGACTCTGACACCAGCCTTAGCGTTTGCAACTTAACGCCATGGACACTGGAGACTTTAGTGAAAACTCGTCCGAACACGCCCCTTTTCCACTCCTAAGTGGAATGCCGCTGAAAGGGGAGCTGGTTATCTTGTTCAGGGCGTGACTGGGGTTTCGCCTTCCAATTCTTTTTCCAGACCACCCACAACCTGCCAGCTTCAGTGATATTGCTTTTCGCTACGAAGTTATACGAGAAGCTTTGCCTTTGAACGTAGCACAGAGCAGCAAAGAAGATCTGATTCCAATTAAATAGAATCCCAAGGTAACTAACTCCGCAAAGTTAAGCCCTTGTTCGCACTTTCCGCGTTTGCCGCCACAAAAGCCATCAAAAAAGCTTGACCGCATTGGTTACTCATGAAGTAAACTCGTCGAGAGATTGAGCTCGAAGGCGATATCCCCCAGCTACTCGTTCTGGTTATGAAGGTCCCATGCCGTACCCCAGATGGAAAGCGTCGCTGTTGTTCACGATGTGTTTCCTTTGCTTCAGCCTAGTTGAGGAATTGAGTTCACGGAACCTCACGGGTTCGAAAATTGTTGTAAAAAATCACAAAGAACTCAGCAAAACTGAAAAGTCAGGTCCATCTTTCAAAATATCAAAAAATAATATCTTGAAGCGTCTCAGCTCGTCTTGTTTTTATACCATTTTTTGTTCAGCAATCAATCAAATTTGTCCAACTAATCCTGACATGAATGACAGAATTCGGCTTAAAGCCATCGAAATGCATAATTACCGAAGGTAACCTCATCTGTAACCTCTGTTATTCGGAACATCGCGCGGCATACATTTTCTTCAGAGCCATGAACTTTCAGATCCAATCTGGCCATGGGGAAGGTACGGAAGAATAATGGAAACTATCTTCCATCAGCAGCAAACATGATAAATCTGGTGAGTTGTGCGGGAATACTCAATTTCCAATATAGTCTATTCAAATAATTATTCGTCACTAGTAAAATGTTTCACGGTTATGGTGGGGTATCCGATAAGAGGCCCGTCGCACGGCGAGAAGGCAGAGACGCAGAGAGTTCAGTGGACGATTGCAGCGCGTTATTACGTCTAGACACTACGCTCTCGCCACGGTAGGAGAGCCGTGGTCGAGGAATTCCTCGACCGTTATTCACCCTGTCCCACAGCGCGCGCTGCAACTCGTCCGCTGCTCGTCTGCGTCTCCTGCCTTCTCGCCACGCTACAGGACTCCTGTCGAGTACTCATTGTGGAGACAGCCATGATTTTGTCACGGAGTAGTTGAAGGCTGGGTTCTCGTATTTCCCCTTTCCTTTATTCCTGGCCGTTCCTTGCAAGAAATGAGCCCGTGGTTCTAGCTGCTGATAAAAAAATGAAGAATGGTTCTAATTACTGTAGAGACTGAGCAGGAACCCAAAACAGCCGAAAACCACCGAAAATGCCCAGATCAAGGCGATCGATTCTAGGCTGTGGACAATTTCAACCCACTTTTGGGGCCATCGATTGAATAAGCTGAAGAAAGTATACTAAACGTGCTGACTAGGGACCCTTGTTTTGCAATTTGACTTTCGCTTCGAGCATTGGTAGTGAAGTGACGTCATCAACAGTAGCGCTCTTTATGCCTCTCCGCTCAGACGACGGGAGATTCCGGCGGAGCCGCAGTGGGCGGGCAGAGAGGCGAGACGTCGAAGGAGGGAGAGGGAGGGACGGGTTTAGCGTCTTGCCAGGTAGCTACAGGGGTCCTTCGCCCGCGTGAGCGCCACGTTTTGCTCACAGAATTCCTTTATAGTAGACGCATTAGCCCTTCTTCAACCCACAATTTTTCGTGTAACCTGCCTTTAGGCAATTATTTACGAATCACCTGAAAGCAGATTAACACACAATTCATGCATATGGCCTTACCGATGAGAATTTTTTACAGAGATATGACTGCGACTTGGAAACTTCGGCCAGACTGTCAGTGAACAGATGTTCTGAGTCGACGGATCCATCCCTCCCAAGTGACGTGCAAGAAAACATCCGCGGCGTCCAGAAGTCCATGGCTCGTTACCGTGTCAATGCCATAGAGCTAGTGGGTTGTCACGGCCTTCGGCAGGATCGCGCCCTTCTCATGTCGTGTTTTTTAGGCCGTCAAACATTGGTGGAGTCAAGTGCGAATGGTTAACGGCATTGGGATGGCAGTCACGTACAGAGCAATGCACGTGGGTAGCACAATCAGCTATTTCACCAGGGTAAGACGTTTTTAGATCGCCATTCTTACAAGGACAGGACGCAGGCAAAGTTGAGCATTTTCAGATGGCATGGGCTTCGACAAAATTTGTAGGGTGTGCTGTATCCGTACGTGAGCTTTGTGGTAGCATGTGGTATATCGCATGTCACTACAAGCCTGGGTGAGGCAATTGCATTTTTTGTTGAGCTTAAAGGCACAGTACGCGACCATTCAAGTGCAGTTATCAGTTATGAAATTAGATATACAATTCTCATAGAAGTGAAGAAAAAAACAAGAGAAACCGTGGGATAACTAGAAATTGAGGGCCTCCTCTTCAAAGTGACAAACCAGATGGAACTTCACTTTTGCTACTAGCGGAATGAAAAGCCGTAAGCCTTAGTCGAAGACATTTTGAGTGTCGCTGCGGCAAAAACTGACTTTGGAAAGCCGCTATGAGAAGTTGAATAAGTGCCAATTTTGCACCGTCCGCCTTTTAGTCGACTTGGCTACAGCGGTGGAGATGGGATGACTGGATGCGTGGAAGATGGGTTGCGGCTAAGTCAAATACGAGCGATCAGTGAAGCCGTGGAGCAAACAAGTACAGAAAACTCGTCCGGCGTCGCTCCTTTATTATTTCAAGGAATGGGATGAAGCGCTGTTAATGGCTCAATCGGCGGTTCTCTAAGGTTTTTTTTTACCATTTAGAGTCAGCGTCCATATTTCCAGTATCGACCACAGTTACCCCTACCAATTTTATCCGGGTTGTTGCTTTACCCGAAGCGGCTTTCCAAAGACGACTAGACGCTGCGTGCCGTGAAAAGAGCATGTTTGACAAGGGAACCCGGGTTCCCGATAGCAATCTTGTGACACAGATGCAGACGGGTCGACGTGCGAGTCGCAGCGCGTTTTGTGTGGTGTTGGACGTGATAGTACGGTGCATTTACGTTGACAGAAAAATGCTACAGTACGCGCTGCGACTCGTCCGTTGCCCTGTCTGCGTCTCTGCCTTCTTGCCGCGCAACGGACTTTCGTCAGGTACCCAGAGAACGCCGGCACCTCGCGCGTTGGGACGTGGCTTATCCAGAACCACCGCCTAGGAGGTGTGCACGCTTAGGGGTGAGCATATTTCGTGTGAATCCAATCTAAATACGGAAAAGCGATTTGTCTGAGACTAAGTACGGTAAGTCCCACAGTAGGTATTGACGCCCCTGCCAGGCCCTGGTGCCCTTCTACGGAAGGCAAAGGCACTACGTCTGCCTCAATACTGACTCAACCAACCCCCTCACGAGAGAGCTTAAGCCAACAACCTTGTCACGGCAAGTGCCTTTGAATGGCATGTACTCTATGTTCGTACTCAACCAGTCTATTTTAACATTCAGAGGAAATATCGTCGATTCGGTGGTCTACCAGAAGGGAACTCCATGTTCAATGTGTGGTGTTGGTTATTACTGCGATGCGCGAGAACTATGCGCAGCTGACAGTTCAATCGAGTGATCTCACTCCGCTCGAAAACCAGTAAAGATTTTTTCAAGGAGTTCTTTCATGCTCTACCAACTTTTACTCGGCTAACCTTCCGGCCTTATCGCCCGCATCAGGGCCTGGAAAGTCGAAGATAAGTGCGATTTTTCCTCCAAGCATCATTTCAAATTCAAGAAAAGTCCCATAGACCCGATGTCTCTAGAAAGACATCACAAATCACGAAACACTCAGACCCTCCTTAGGAAACAAAGTTGATAATATCTTGATTGCGGCTAAACAAAACCATGCTGAATGTTGTGCTGTTATCTTGTCTCATAAATGAGAATGAAAGGACTTCTTGAAAAAATCTTTACTGGTCCTCGGGCGGAAGTGAGATCACTCGATTGAACTGTCAGCTGAGCATAGTTCTCGCGCATCGCAGTAATAACCAACACCACACATTGAACATGGAGTTCCCTTCTGGTAGACCACCGAATCGACGATATTTCCTCTGAATGTTAAAATA